AACTAATAACATGTGGACATCCCTTAAAAGATAGAAAAATTGTGGAACAAAATGGTACATATATAATTCAATAAATATATATCGAAATTCAAACGTGTCTTTGAATGTTTCTTAAAAATTGGCACGAACTTTCTGGATAACCCAATATATGCCAATCTAGGCTGACAATAATTCCTCCATACTGTTACTTGGTACATTGAAAGATTTGAAAGCCAACTGTTTCCAAACACTGAACATTGTAAGTAAACAATCATCAACACAGTAAATAAATTCGAATAGCTAAATACTGCAATTAAAAAGCCTATAAATAAGCTCCCGGTAAATAAAGTGGTATTAGTATTGCGTATGGTTTACTATGAAACGGGACCCACGAGAGATGAGACGACGAATTACCACCGTGAGTGACGCCAACCCTAGCTTATGCTATGTAACGCCACTGGCTTATGGGACGCATCGAGACATCACACCGCGGTTTTTGATCCCTCGGCCAAACACCGAGCCGACATCCACGAATTTACGGGCCACGTTTAAATTATGCCGCCGTTACGTCGCTCGAATTACCCACACGATCGGATAGTCAGTAATTTACAGCGCCTGTCGCAGAGACGCGGCTTTAAGCTGTCGAATACGCTCGTTCCGCCTTTCCGGAACGAAGCTGACGGGAGAATCGTGAAATAATTTAGTCCTCGCCGGGGATTTATACGGGGTGACTAGGAAGAAATTACCCTTCCCGCGTTGGTCGTACATTTTCCCCATCCATGTCTTCCCAACTCTTTCAGAATTAGAAGAATTATTTTTAAAAATATCGCCCTTTCGTTTGCATACATTCAAACTCGTCTACAAATATCTGATTCCATAAATAGAGTTCCATAGTCGAGCAAAGTTTATTTACAAACATTGTCTTGTTTTCGTGAAATAATTTAGCCCTCATCGAGGGATTTATACGGAGCCTCCCGAACTCTCAGATTTAACGCGTTGACTGCCAGACAAATATTCTTGAAAATTTCTGCTAGGATTAAATATTATTTAGACTATCGGAAACTACATGATCGAACGTTTATCGTGGTATTTATTTTTGTAACTTCACCAAAATTCATGAATGTATTTCAATACATAGTTCATACTTAAATTTCAGAATTAATTTGTTCACTTCTTCAGTAAAAAGCACTGTCACCCATATATGGGTATATCCTACGTTTTGCTTAGCTTTACTCTTTTATTTAAAGTTTCACTAAAAGTATAACAAGTGGAATCTGAAATATAAACAAGTCAAAACGCATTAGCAAGTTATTGACACCGTCCTTCGGTGCAGCTTGAATTTTATTTTTCTTGTGTAATCATGCACCTCGAATCGAATATGGTTGTGACTGAAAAACGAATCGTTTCATTATATTTCAAATTATCCTTCAACAAAAATTGTCGAACACAGCTATTATTTTCCCGCGTCTAATATGGCTTCCCTCCTGCAGCAACGAAAAGGAGAAAAAGGAACGAATTTATTCGTAGTACGCGAATACTACTAAAATATTCAGATACTGGAGCGAAATCCTAGTTGGAACCTACGCAGACTGTCTCGACGTCTGCCAGCATTTCCAATTCATAATACGAAGCGTGCCTTTCTTTTTCGCCACTCACGATCGGGCAATATTTCGCGGGATCGTTTCGCCCTCCCGCGGATAGTTTCCAGGTCACTTGGCGGGATCCAGGGGCTCGAGGGAAATAGAGAAGCACGGATGCCTAGCCTCTGAGAAGGCCCCGCGGCTCTCCAACATCCGGAGTATCTAAAACCAAAATTTATCACGGTTATAACTCACGCGAATGCGTGGCGAACTTTTTCCTCCCGGCGTTCTGCATACTTCTGGAACGCACAGGGGGCCTCCGCGTCGAGATTGATCCTGTTCTTGTTCCTCGGTTTGCTCGCTTTTACACCGGGAAACCGAGTTATGTGGCCGCTGGCCAGATTCTCGAGTGCTCGTGGTCATGGGACGTTATAAATGTGGTATTCGTTTAGTATCTCCGCTCTCATCACCTAATAGCAATAAGCTGCGCGGATCATAGGTGCCGGTGGTGTTAATATCGCGTTCGCGATGAATCGCTCCTTAACGTTATACATATCTCGATGACACGACGACGTAAACGCGTTGATTGTTCCGTTACGGACGTTCGTTCAGGGGGTAAACAAGAATTGATTTTTGTTCATTTCGTTTCTAAAACATTGCTTCGCTGGCGTCAATTGGAGAAATTTAACTATCTACGGGAAATCGACGCACATGTGCGTTTAGTTAGTTAAGCGATCGTGGGTGTAGCGAAATACCTGTTCGTAAAGGATTTTTGTATTTTAAATGAATTTACGCACTACTACAATTAAACAATTAAACAACTATAATGAATTATGTGACAGGCATGTTATATTTTTTTATTTATAATAAAATTCATACACTGAGAAGCCGTATCGTTAAAATAAAAGTCCTTGTTTGAAAGTGCTCATCAGTCACAAATGTTAAAATTCAATTTATAAAATTAACATTCACAAGGAAATGACTAAATTAATGCACAAAATGTAAACTCCTTTTACGCATTAATTCAGTAAATTTAATTGTACCTTTCAAGATATCCTGAACAAATCTGTAAAAGCCTTATCTCTAAAACTTATCTGAAACTTATCTACGAATATTTGATTCAGTGAATTAAATCGTATAGTCGAACACGAGTTACTTATAGACATTGTCTTGTTTTTCGGATCCCAGATGTACGTACACGCCCCCTTAGCTGCTTCCACGGATGATGTCGCTATCGCTGTCGTCCGTCGAGTTAATTAGCGTGGCGTAATTTAAGAAAGACCGGCGACGACGGATTACAATGGCGCGTAAGCGCGGAATAATTGGCGGGAAAATCAATCGGTTACTCGGTGGAGTCTAATTGCTCGACTACTAATGGGGACAACGGTTCATTACGCGCGTTGGGTAATTAAGAGGCACCGAGCGGTGTCCGGCCCTCGAGAATTCGACTCCTCGCATGAACGATAAATCTTGACTGTGGGCTCGCTCGTTTCGTTTTGTCAGACGCTTCAACCGATGTTACGTCAGTTTTGATTAAGCGCCGCTTAATCGATTCTGGATGAACCGCTGAGAATCGCTATTAACCCTTTAACTGTGGGACGATTTTTCCTGAGAATTCTAAGGGACGCTTCGTTAAAACAATTTCTAAAAAATGTCACTCTACAGAGAATGACAGGACGAATTTTTTTCTATTTATAGTTTACTCGTCATTTTCCTTATCTATAAACATTATTTGCAGCTATATGAATACTCTGGAATTTAATCACCAGTAAGACTTACCTCCTTAACGTACTGTCATCAATCGGTAATCGCTTTGTGCCTAAGATTACGTCTAATAAAATCGCATGTTACGGATACTCGAAGGCCTTGGCATTATCTGAAAGTTTATTGTGCAGATAACATGGCGAACTGCCAGCTTGGGAATATTTTGCAAGCTTGCTAATTGCTGCTGCAACGATCGCGCGGACATAGGTGCGCTGCATAGTTTTCATCGCGTGCATTTTGCGTCGATAGAAGACCAGAAATTTATATCAAAGGCCAATTACGGAGTGCCTCGTCGTCTCTTCCTCGTTTCTAAACGTTATTATACCTTCGTTAAACCCCGTAGAAAATACGCCATATTAATACGGTCAAATTAATTAAGGGCTCATTAATCCGACCGGAAGCAGACGAGTAATGTTTACGAACAACGAAGAGATGCAGGCCCGTGCTTCTGGGGTAGAGAGCAGTCAATATACATATACCAGCGCATCCGCAATTTTTTACGCCCACGACCTCCTTTTCACGAGACGAAAGTATTAACGACTCCCACTATTATAGAATCTGTACATAGGTACAGATGAATTAGACTCATTGTTTCCCAACGTGGACGATTGACACATCGAAGTGGACGACTATCTAGTATCTATTGAAGACAAAAATATGTTATTTAACACGTTGACTGTCAAACTAATAAACGTTGAAATTCCTACGAGGCTAAAATTTTAGCCCTTGAGTAGAACTCATTTTTGCACCCTCTTTAAAATTCATCGATACTACCCACATTTATTTTCCTTAACACGTCACCTTCAGGATTAATGTATTTCATTTTTTAGTAAAAATCCTTGTCACCCACGTATGGGTGACGTGGCGTTCAACGTGTTAATATACATTTTAGTCACTGCAGGTGGGAAATAAAGTTTAATTATGGTGAAAAAACTGTACTTCAATATTAATATTTAAGAAATTATATTAAAATAGCAATTATTGAAACAATTCTATTTAAATAATAACACTCAATATATTTGTAGCTAATATAGTATATTTAATATGTACTCAAATAAGATTCGTATAATAATTGTAGCGGAAGCTCGCAGCTCAGGTAAATAAAAAATAGCATTGACCACTTACAAATATTTAAATGTAATATCTGTCTTAGGTCTTTCTTGGTGGTCTCCATTCACGTAGCACGGATAAATAAATCAAAGTATTACAATAAATTACATGTCTTTTATGCTACATTGTTTAATACAACAAGACTCTTTTAGCACATTCTGCAATAAAATGGCTTCGAGTGCAAAGGGTTAAAAACTTCGAACGGTCTCAGTCCCAGCTCATCAACAATCCAACGCCACCAACAACCACTAATTACTCCGAAAGCTCCAAAATTGAAAACATCATAGGCCTCGTGGCTTCCCCTTCCTCGTTTTCACATAGCTTCTCCCTAACCCAAGCTTTCCCGGGAAAAGTTTTCCCTCGGATCTCGTGGAAAAGGGGGATACCCCAGTCGTTAAAGAGCCGCGAAAACTGCGTTGGAAACGCATCAATCGAGCACTCCGTTCCACGAACCGCCACCTGTGTGTACTTTACGTGTGTATACAAAAGGGCTGGGGGCGTGTACGCGAGAGCGCGCGCGCCTGTATGAAACCTGCGCGCCACGAGGTAAAGCCGCCAGTGCTATTCGTCGCCGCAGTGCGATACGGTCGATAGAAGAAAACGTGGCCGACAGTCTCCGGTGGTTGCAGCTGCCGCAGACACCGTCGCGACGCCTCGTTCCCTTCGCGTCGTCGCTGTTTTCGTCGGTTCTGCTCCGTTTGAAAATTCCTTGGGACCGCTCTACGTCGCGACACGTCCTCCATCCGACCCTCGAACCAGAGGGTGGGCTCTCCTACGCTTTATCGCGCTCGGCGATGGCGCGCGTACGGCGTCATGTCGCAGAACCGTTCGGATAGGATGTTTGTGAATATGACGAGGTAAAGGTGATCGGTGTTTCACGAGAGATCGCGATGGGGAGATTCCCTCCTGGAACGATCGAGGAAATGTTCTCGGTTCGCTTTCGACCTGTTTCTGGAGTATTTTTTTCTTCCTTCTGCCGAGGTCTCTCGAGGCTGTTGATTTAGGGCATGGGTTTATTCAGGTCGCTTGATTCGATTTTTGGAGGCTGTTTAGGCCAGTGGTTTCCGGGAGGCACCACTCCTAGGGGAAGAGGAAGAATATTTTCAGTGTTGACTAATGTGGATAATTTTAATTGTTGTCTCTGTTATAAACTTTGTATGGTCTGCACATCCTGAACCGTCTACGCATGGGATATTTGGGTTTATCTTCATTTATTATCCAACTGGAGTACAGTTTTTTTATCGTTTTTAATGGTTCACTAGCTCCACTGTTTCTAAATTTTAGTCGAAGAGAATTAGACAAATTTGTTGCTCCAATATTCGTTATATTTTATTTCGTATCACAGGGTTCAATTTTTTATTAAAGATTCAATCTTTCTTCTTTTTAAATAATTCTTTATCCTCAAAACTATCAGAATTCAGCTCTCGATTAGAATAAACGCAAAAGAAATGTTTCATCTATAAATATCGGAGCACAACTCTCTCATCCCTTTAAGAAAGAGCCTCTCAGAAATGCTGAAAACCAATGGTTTAGCCGGTAACAGATGGTCCCTTCTTACGAGAAATGAACCCATTACTGGGACATTTGGAATTTTTCCATAACTATCGGAAGATCGGCGTTTCGAAATGAATTTACTTCAAGGATAGAATTACATAAATTGTCAAAACAATTTTATCGCCCGTGTACAACTTTTTTAACAGCGTAATAAACTAGAGGGTCAGCAAAAGTTCATAGCCGAACGCGAGCCAATGAAAAATCGTTGGATCGAGACGATCGTTCCAGAAGATCGTCGCGAAGCAAGCGAGGAGGAACCGTTCCGAAGCGCAACGATTCCAGGCGGCGCGGCGTATTCAAAAGTGTGCGCTCCACCGTTGAACAGACTCGGGCAAAGTTTTATTCGAATAACAGATGCCGAATAAAGACGCTATCGTCCTCTATTCGTCAATCGTTTGCGAATAAAAGCAGTACAAACAAAAATCAGCAACTAATAAGAAGCAGTTTCTTTTGAATTGGTTATTGAAAATATCATCTAGATGAGTGTTTTGCCCGACTCTGTCGCCGAATTATAACTGCGTAAACAGAGGCGATAGCGGCACGACCGCGTGGCGAGCCGTGACATTGGACTTTCGATGAATCTGTTTACGCTCGCGGCGACCCGAGAGTGCTTCGTCAGGCTGATCGCGAGTGCTAAATAGTCGCAAAAATCGTTCCAACGAGGGAATCCCTCTAACGTCGACGCGACGTCTTATAATCTATATAGATCGTTTCCTGGGTGAATCCGGGTGAAGTTTCACGGAGTGCGTCATCGCGAATAAAAATTAAAAACGTCGGTCTTAACACTTTGCTAACTGTACAATTTTCGTCTCGTATGTATTTATTTTGAAAATGAACTCTGATCTAGCACCTGTCGATATTACCTTCGATTTCGAATCGCAAACGGTTGGTGCAAACACTTAGCGCGCGTGTTTGTAAGCGCAGAATCGATGAAACGGTCGGTTGGCGATGTGTTAAGAGCTATAGACGATTAATCTGTTTGTTAGCATTGGCAATGACGACGTTTCGGTCGACGAGTATCTTGGTCCATTATCGGAGTGAGCACCATTAGCAAATGTAACAACGATGGATCCTGAACAGTGATTCGAGTGCAAAACGATTTAAAATAAAGTCTAGTGCCATCGTGACTGGAGTAAAGATAGTGTTTCGCGCTGAAATTCTTTCGCTTCGATATCACTAACATTCCAAAAAAAGATTAAAACTACGCACTGTAGAAAAGATCAGAACCTGAAATTGAACAGGTGATTGCTCGCTGGATAGAAATCCAATTTAACGCAATGAGCAGTCTGCTACAAGTTTACACTTAAATATACTTAAACGTTTCCTCAGTCGCGCGTGACGTAATCGAGAGTCACCGAAACTCGATCGACGCGACTTCCTCGTGGCTCCTACTCTCCCAGTCGAATAATCTACGTTGTAATTCTCGAGGGGCCGCCAATCAAAATTAAATTCTATCAACCGTAGAAAGGGTAGGAATTGCCCTAATTCCACTCTACATATCTGTAGAGATCTGCGAAGACCTCCAATGAAGCTCGAGACTCGACCAACGGAACTTCTCGATACGATCCTGACCTTCCAGTTAAATAATCTACAGTTAAATAACGCTGAAACCAAATTCGTACCAAAATTCTACCAAACGTGGAAAGGGTATAATTCACCCTAATTCCACTTTATAATAGATCAACAAGGACCTCGAAGCCGATCTGGTCTACCAGTGAAATAATCTACGATCGCGATAGCTTGAAAAACCTCAGCCAGAGATGGCAAAATTCCACCAACCGTGAAAAGGACAGGAATTGCCCTAATTCCATTCCACAGACCGATAAGAACCTCTGAAGACTTTCAAAGACTTCCAAAGAATTATCTAAACCTCGATCAAAACCCTGATATGATTCTGGACTCTCAGGTGAATAAACTACGGTCGCGATACTCGAAGAATCGCCATCCAAAGGCACAAAAATTCTACTAACCGTGGAAAGATCAAGTTTTTATTCTACTTTCATAGATCGGTAAGGAGATCCGAAGACGATCGAACGTGACGGAAGTGTTACCAACGAACGGGACTTTCTGATATAGTTCTGACCTCCCAGATGAAATAATCTACTATTGAAGATAGTCAGAGGATTCATAGCCAGAGGTATTAAAATTCTGCCAATCGTGGAAAGGCCATGATTTGTCCCGATTCCACTTTATAGATCGTTAAAGACCCCCGAAGACGGTTGTGACGTAAAACAAGTGCTATCGATCAACGGGACTTCCTGATACGATCCTGGCCTCCGAGTTGAATAATTTACGGTTGCGATACTCGAAGGACCGCCTGACGGCGACAGGAGCAGAAGTCTAGTGGGCGGGCTGGCGCCAGGAGGGGTCGATCGATTTCGTTCTGGAAGAGGATGCCTCGTTTCGCGACGTAGCAATCGAGTTTTTACGTTGCAGTCACGTGCCAAGAAGCGTAGTTCTGTGTCGAGGGGGTTAGGGAAGTGGTGCCATCGATAGAAGGGGGACGTAAACGAGAGACTTTTCCTGGAGCGGTCGCCGGAGCCTCGACGTCGTTGTGGGAAATCGATTTTCACCGTGCCGACCACCCCGTTGGAACCACCCCCGTTACTGCAGTGCAATGACCTCCAAACCGGGAAGGTCCTACAGCGTGAGGTAAGAGGATTGCGATGGGGAAAATGGGCGAAGTTTTTATCTGTACAAAGATCTCGAATATTAACACTGAACCTAGACGTTCATGTGTAACTATCTCTACCATGAAGAAACAAATAACTAGTTACGTTGATCGCTACATGGATATTTGCGAATGTTTCTATAAGAATCAAAGTTTGTTTTGAGACAATTGAAATCTACATAATGCAACATTTTTTGTAGTATTCATTTTTGTAACTTTATCGAAATTCATGAATCTGAACCAGATTTATTGTCTTTAATATTTCACTTTCAAGATTATGTTATTTAGTTCCGTAATAAAAAGTCCTGATACCCACATGTGGGTGACGCGGCGATGAACGTGCTAAAGACACTTTTTTCAAATAAATGGAAAAATATTTTATATAGAATTAGATTGGATAATGCATGAAACAATTGTATATAATTCGTATACTAACTAGAAAAAAGATTCACATTTATATCCATAAAAGCATTGATTTGATATTGAAACGAACTTTTCTAACTCCCATATGCCTTAATATTAATACATTCTAATATTTCAAAACTGTAAATATGATTTTAAATAAACGCAATTTAGTTATATAAATTTCAAGAAGAGGACAACTTTTTGTTCGTCACTGGTCAAATAGAGATTACGATATCGTAGCGAATCTCGCGAATAAATAGCAATGCTTGATTTTATTCGCCGCCTATTACTCGAATAAAATTTTGCCCATCTCTGATATAAAGATGCGACGCGAGAGACGAACGGAGAAAATAGCCGCGTCCCTTCGCCATACGTTCCGACGTCTACGACTTTCGCTCGACGTTTTTCTCTATTTCACTTCCGGCCGCGTCTTTCCATGGCTGGGATTTTAAACGGGACGCGGTCTAAAGTTGAACGTCGGCTTGAAGGGTTACGATAGGGTGGCCAGCTGAAAAATCAGGCAGCTTTTTGGAAAATTCGTGGCATTGTCAAATGTATCTCGGTTACTGTAATTCACTTTGAACAAAAATTTGTCTAACAATTCTTTACAATATTGTTTTAAACAAATGTTTTGTTTTTATACAGACTTTAATTCGTGCTAAAGAGTCTTATATGCAATCAACAATTCCAGGTACACCTTTTGCTATTATTGTGATAGTTATTTTTGAGTGATGGGTTATCGAATACTAGGTACATCTCCAGCTCTTTAAAAAATATTCTAGAGGTATTAATAACATTACGAAGACGATCGAGATCTGCCAATTTCGATTGTAAATCTCATTGAAACAATATAACCTGAGAACGGTATGGTCTGCTGACCATAGGAGCTGGAAACATGGGTCGGTTACCTGAAACGGGCCACACCGTGACGTTTAACAGCTTATTGAGATGGTAATTATAAAACAACCGCGATGGAAATTCTGTACGTGTACCTTTAGAGAAAATCTTATATAAATGAAATATCTTATGAACGTGGAAATTGATCTTGATGGAATTTCAAAACAGTCTAGGAGCTCACGTGTAAGTGATCTCGAATATTTTTTAGAAATTAGCTTTTATATAAACGCGTTTATTATATACATTTGGTATCAATAAGGAAGCCTTTCCCGATTGGTTGGCATTGTATTAAAAATCGTCTCTGAAACTTATGTTACCCTTATTAAACAGTGAACCATTAGATCGATCCAACCTTTAAATTCCTCAATGAAATTTAGCAGTCGTATTAGTCCAGTATCTATACTTTCAAGCGATAAATTTGAAACATTTGATGAAGCTGTATAATCGCCTGTAAAGAAAGTTTCTAAACGCTACCTTGCTTTCCAGTCCATCACTCTGTCGCGCAACCCCTTAAGGCTGAGGCCATGATCGGCCTGGTATGTTCGCGCGAGACCACGTGAAATTTACGATGCGTCGTTTATGGGGAAACGATCGTTTCGTTTTCGCCCTTGGTTTACGTTTTTGCCTCGGCAGCGACCGTAGTCGCTTGTCTCGCCGCTAAGTAAGGGATGAGGGACCGTACGGCGAAGCGGAGGATGATGACTTCAACGCGTGAAAGCTTGCTTTCGAACGGCTCGCGTAGCCTCTGTGGTCGATGGTATTGAGAGTATAGGAACGAGCCGACGTGTAAACACGAAATGTTTGCGTTGGAATGAATCGATGCCGGTGCAAATGTTGGTGCTCGTTGAGAAAGGGTGGGCGATCCGAGTCACAGTCGGGCTGTGTTCGACAAAGCCGTGCATTTTCTGTGTGCTTTTTTGAACAGGGTAGATTTGTATGTAATGTAAAAATAGCGGCGGATTCATTCGGAGCAGCGAGGCGGGATGAAAAGGGGTGATTTCTCGTGCAAAAATAAATTGTACCTGCAGAGTAGAATTTTGAAAGAAGGAGGCTCCTAAAATAAAATCTGTAAAGTTTCTTTCTCTAAATTATACCAACAACAAAAAAGAGTTCACTTGTAACGAATATTATACACGTATTTCTTTTAGTACTGACTTTTAATTATCTTTCGTAACTTCCTGCTTTCCTTCGTATCGAAACTGTAGAAAATAAAATTGTCCAACATAGGTATCCACAGTTTGTCTTACGGTAGCAACATTATAACTCCGTACTTCCCGAATAATTTCCCGACATAATTACACACACACAGGACGTATAAAAATACCATCAATTCATACAATGATTATAATTACAGGAGCCGAAGCTCCTCTTAAGAAGGAATTACACGTATTAACGATACAAAGATCGATCGCTTTTCCAGTTATTCTCTGCCGTTAAGCAATCTGGCTCGCATTAAGTCTTTAATTTCCGTAATTACCCACGCGAAATTGCAAGAGGCTCGGGACGTCTTCATTAAATCGGGACGCGCAGCGTTAAGGAGAGCTCGTGATCCGAGACGGAAAAATATCAATTCCCTTAACGGAAACGGAATTCGTGTCCTTGGTTCCGTGCGCGGAAATTAATTGCCGTAAAAGAAAATCGTTGTAGGCGAATAGCGTATATACGATTTTCTTTTATCGTTTTTTGTTCAATTTACTAACGAATTAACTAGACGGCGAATGCAGCCGCTGGGAAAACGTAACGGAGTGACTGGCAGATAATTATTATTTCTCTCTGAAAGGGCCTTTCATGCGGCGCGCGCCGACGTCTTCGCCGCAGCGAGATTATTCCCCCGACCGCGAGGTATTTCTAACCGAGTATACGCGAAACTATGTCTGGAAAATAATTTCTCAGCAAGATGTTGGTTGGCCGAACATGTCCGGCGGAACAATAACCCTTCTGTGTCGGAGTCGCCGCCTCGAGAACCTTGTAACGATGTTTAAAGAGTCACTGCGCCGTGACGAATGAAAAATGAAGCATACTTTAGGAATTCTTTTCGAAATCTATGAAATAGAGAACGAATGGTTCTTTTTTTTTTTAGAGAAATTAGTCATCGAATCACTTCACAATAAGTTTGGATTAATTGAATGTCTTTATAAAAAGAAGTCTATCGATTCATTTAAATGTGAACGAAATAAAAAGCTTCTGTACTAGGTAAAAGAAAAGTCTAGAAACTCATTTCACAATATCTGTCCTCAATTTGAACTAATCAATATAAATTATATTTTTATAATTACGAATATCATGAATGAACTAAAAATGAAACTGGTTTTCGTACTTCGTGAAAAGAAGTCTTTTCGACTCGTTTCAGAATTTCTGGCCCAAATGTGGACCAATCAAGAGCCCCTGGTACTCTATGAAAAAAGGGTCTACCTCATTCCGCAATTTGTGTCCTTTTACCCGTGGCGTATCCGGTACTTTCACCAGCATCGTTTTGAAGAATCGTTACGACTAGCCGGCAGGTTCGCGTCTTTTCTTCCTTTTCGGATTCCCACTTAATTTCTCGGAGCGTTTCCGGTTTTAGATGTTCCCAGTGACTCAGCGCGACGCGGCTTTGGCGCAAAACGAACAAAAAAAGATTGTTTCGTGTTAGTAGAGCGTTACGAGACCAAATCGAAACGTTTACTAAATTGCTAGAATCGAGCTGGTACTTGGAGCCCAGTCGAAGCCTCGTTACAAGCAGGGACGGGCAAAATTTTATTCGAACATAAGATGATAAATAAGAACAACGTACAGTGACTAAATAGTTACTCGTATAGTTTACTTCGTGAGATATGAAAGCATTCTATAATTTTAATATTCATTCTCTCAGTAACGAATTAGAAATTGTTTACTTTCTTTTCTTTTAATATTTTTAGTGTGGCTAGAAATGAAACTAATTGGTGTTTAGAACAAATTTTGAACAAAACTTCAGATGTTAATATGTGATAATAATTGAATAAATATTTGAAACACTGTTTAACTTTACTGCGAAAACTAATGCAAAGTATTTTTGTAGTTATATTAAATATTTTTTTAATTTATAAGACAAAACAGTACGTCTAATAGATTAGTTCATTATCTATTAACTATTGGAGATTTTGATATAGATAAGAATTTTGTTATAACGGGTTACAAATCACTGTCTCCTTAGTATACTGGCCGCGTATTCGTGTCTTTCTATCGAGCGTGAATTCTTACGTGGTATCACCTACTTTCCGAGACCTTCGCTGCGAGGCTTACGTCGATTACTTTGTGACGGTAAACAACTTGTTTCCGTTCCTTATTTCACCCCTTTTACGAGGAACCTCAATTCGATTTCATGGCAGGAAATCGCGATTCTGTCTACCTTCCATTCTAACAATTTACGAACTTAAATGAAACTGAAATATGAGAAATCCTTATTTACGATGTCGTGTGTAATTAAAGAAAGTGATGAAATAGTAGATGAACGTATAGTCTACAAACAATAATTATTAGTAAAGCATAAATTCCAATAATATATAATAAAAAATTCAAAAATGAACGAAAAAAATTAATATTATGGTAAAAAGCAAAGGCGTAAATTTATACCTCCGTTGAAATGTAACCAAGCAACATTTAACAATGAAAATATTACCTATGGTATTTAAATGCTGAATAGGAGTTAGATGAATATATT